AAACATATAATGTTTGACACGTCTCTTCCTCGTGTGTCGCCCACACGACCTCAGAGACGGCGTCGAAGGCCCGCCATCATACTTGCGGCGTGGATTTGAGGAGCTTTCTTCAGCTCTTTTGCGCGACCAAGCCTCAGCATCTCGTTTTGCGCCGTCCGTCGTCGCCATGGCTCGATCGCTCTCCGCAATTGCGCTCGTCGCTGGTCTGCTCGTCCTGCTCGGTACGCCCCACTCCCTGCTCGGTACGCCCCACTTCTTCGCTCCGGAATTTCCTTTCGCCCGCTCCAATTTGCTTGTTCCATCACTTTCGTGCCGTGCCTTGCTTCTTCTTCCCCTCCCCTCCTAATGCACATGTCATCCCTTGCGCCCTGCTCTCGCATCGTGGCCTCCCCCCCGCCGCGCCCTGCACTGGGTCCAATCATCTGCTCCTCAGCCGCAACTCACGCAGAGGTACGCTTCGCCTCTCGCCTCTCGCCTCTCGCCTTCCCCGCCTGACTTCTGTTGCCATCGCTTGCGCGTTCGGCCCGCACCTCTCCTCCCATGCTGCTCGTCCTCGGCACGTGCGTTCGAGTCTCAACGCCGCGCATGCTCCACTCGTCCTCACCCGTTTCCCCACTTCGGTCCCGCTCATCCCACGCTGCTCGGCGCGTGATTTTAGAAGTCAGTTGATACGGCGCTCACATGCGAGCAATTCATCTCAGGGACCTTGCAAACACGTTTATGTGCCATCCTTGCTGCCCCATGCACACAGGCGCGTGAGATCGTGGTGGGCGGCAACAAGGGGTCACATGCGCCGCCACTGTACTCCTTACACCTCCCCTCGCTGAAATTCCTTGGCTGCTAGTTGCATACCCCGTGCTCTTGCTTTATGCATTGCCTTGATGGCCGTCATGCTCCCCCTTATCTCGCATGGGGTCCCATATCGCTGTGCATCACGTGTGCTCTACTCGTATCTGGCATGGCATGGCAGTGTTCAAGTGGACGGGTTACCACGATGTGTGGCTGATGAGCGGCGCTGCTGCGTACAACAGTTGCAACTTCAACGGTGCCAAGGAGAAGGCTAAGGTGGCCAGTGGCAAGACGTACAGGTCAGCTCCATGCGTGTGTCGTGAAGTTTCTCTGCTTGTCTCAGTCCGCCCATGCTTCTGATTTATGCCGCCTCCCTTGCTCACTCATGCACCGTTGGTGCTGCCACCACAGGCCAGGGAGAATAACTCTGGGGCCTTGTGAACACCTTAATGCAGAAATTCGTGTCTTGTATTCCATCCTTCACAGCTCTTGCACCTACCTGCCTTGTGTGACTTGCCTTCCCTTGCTTGGCCCCTCCCCATTACAGGTTCACAGTGCCGACGACAGCAAGGGGCAGCACGCTGTATTTTGGCTGCCAAGTGTACGGCCACTGTGGAATGAACATGAAAGTGGCCGTTGCCGTCCGTCCAGAAGTGAGGGCGTTTCTTGCCATGCAGGAGCCCTTAATTCGCCAGAGAACTTGACATGAGCTGAGCTGAGTCACACATCAGTGAAATTGTTATATACATGTGAGCCTCTGTGTACTGCTGCATCTTTAGTGAAGCATTGGGTGCCTTTTTCTATGTTTAGTTTCCAAGAACACACTTTCTGTAAGCAGGGCCCAAAATAATTAGGCAAAAATTCTTAAAATAAGGTACCCCGATCTCAAGTGCCATTTCCTTAGGTAGGCAGTTTTACCGGCTATGAGTGCTTCAGTGTCATGCGTGCTTCTTCATGTCAATTATTTCTGTCAGCCATGCGTGCATCTCCTGCCGTGTCAGCACTCGCACCTTGCACGCTCGGCTCTCCATGATAGACCTGCTATGCCATGAAGTGCCCATAGCATGCCATAACGTGGAAAGCCATGTCATGTGGAGCCATGCCAATGTGTCATGCCCAGGCACACAGACGAAGCCACATGCTATCAGATCGAGCCCTGTCGTCACAGATGGCATGTGTGCTGCATGTGTGTGATGTATGTGCCGACAAGTGTGTGGCATGCATGTGGCACGCAGGTGGCATGCATGTGGCACGCAGGTGGCATGCATGTGGCATGTGTGTGGCATGCATGTGGCATGCAGGTGGCATGCATGTGGCATGCAGGTGGCATGCTGTGGCATGTGTGTGGCATGCATGTGGCATGCATGTGGCATGCGTGTGGTATGCATGTGGTATGTGTGTGGCAAGTGGCTTGTCAGTCTACAGGACTCGGGCAACCGTCCGATTCATCCACCCCATCAAGGAACACATTGTTCCCTTGCACCTCCTTCCTGCACCTTTTCGCTTCATTTCTCCCAAGCTCAACCCCTTTGATCGTGCTTCTTGATTCGTTCATCACCCCCTCCTACATCACTGCCCGCATGCCTCACCGCATGCCTCAACACGCGCCCTCCATCACCTAAACCCGCACCTCAACACGGAGAGAGCCATGGAGCGCACCTCAACACGGAGAGAGCCCTGGAGCGCACCTCAACACGGAGAGAGCCCTGGAGCGCACCTCAACACGGAGAGAGCCCTGGAGCGCACTCGACACGGAGAGAGCCCTGGAGCGCACCTCGACACGGAGAGAGCCCTGGAGCACACCTCGACACGGAGAGAGCCCTGGAGCGCACCTCAACACGGAGAGAGCCCTGGAGCGCAACTCAACACGGAGAGAGCCCTGGAGCGCACCTCAACACGGAGAGAGCCCTGGAGCGCACCTCAACACGGAGAGAGCCCTGGAGCGCACCTCAACACGGAGAGAGCTCTGGAGCGCACCTCAACACGGAGAGAGCCCTGGAGCGCACCTCAACACGGAGAGAGCCCTGGAGCGCACCTCAACACGGAGAGAGCCCTGGAGCGCACCTCAACACGGAGAGAGCCCTGGAGCGCACCTCAACACGGAGAGAGCCCTGGAGCGCACCTCAACACGGAGAGAGCCCTGGAGCGCACCTCAACTCGGAGAGAGCCCTGGAGCGCACCTCAACACGGAGAGAGCCCTGGAGCGGACCTGTGGCAGTCGAGGAAGTCGGAGTATCGCAGCAGCACATGCGAGGCCACCTCCCCGCGCACCAACGCGCACAGGTCGCCGTTCCCAATGCTCCAACCGCTCTGCTGTGCCTGCACGCCCTCCAGCAGCCCCTGCAGCGCCTGCACCCGCCTAGTGAACGCCGCCACGTCGCCCCGGTGGTCCGACAGCACAGCCGCCACCTGGCAGGGTGGGTGGTGGGGGGACGAGCATGGTCACCCGTGGTGCGCACTGGTGTGCTGTGAGAACTCTTAAAGCGCATGTGGAGACTGGAATTCAGCCGGCACGGAGTGGAGGAGGGCTTGAGGGTAGCTTCAAGAAGGCTTGCACGCCCCCTCGATGATCCAATAAAGCGGTGACCACCCGATTGGGGTGTTGGTTGGGAGTGGTTGAATGGCTGTATGAGCTTATCATTGTTGAAAGGTTCTTGTTCGACAAGGAAGGTACGAGATTGACAAGGATGCAGATTGTTGGTACAAGATTGACAAGGATGCAGATTGTTGGTACGAGATTGACAAGGATGCAGATTGTTGGTACGAGATTGACAAGGATGCAGATTGTTGGTACGAGATTGACAAGGATGCAGATTGTTGGTACGAGATTGACAAGGATGCAGATTGTTGGTACGAGATTGACAAGGATGCAGATTGCTGGTACGAGATTGACAAGGATGCAGATTGCTGGTACGAGATTGACAAGGATGCAGATTGCTGGTACGAGATTGACAAGGATGCAGATTGCTGGTACGAGATTGACAAGGATGCAGATTGCTGGTACGAGATTGACAAGGATGCAGATTGCTGGTACGAGATTGACAAGGATGCAGATTGCTGGTACGAGATTGACAAGGATGCAGATTGCTGGTACGAGATTGACAAGGATGCAGATTGTTGGTGCTGAGCGCAGTAGAGAAAGACGCGCAGTAGAGAAAGTCAGACTGCAACCTCCATTTGAGCGCAGCAGAGAAAGTAAGACTGCAACCTCCATTTGAGCGCAGTAGAGAAAGAATGAATGCAACCTCCATTTGAGCGCAGTAGAGAAGGTAAGACTGCAACCTCCATCTGAGCGCAGTAGAGAAAGTCAGACTGCAGCCTCCATTTGAGCGCACTACAGAAAGACAGACTGCAACCTCCATTTGAGCGCAGTAGAGAAAGACAGACTGCAACCTCCATTTGAGCGCAATAGAGAAAGTCAGACGGCAACCTCCATTTTAGCGCAGCAGTAGAGAAAGACAGACTGCAACCTGCATTTGAGCGCAGTAGAGAAAGCCAGACTGAAACCTCCATTAGAGCGCAGTAGAGAAAGACATACCGCAACCTCCATTTGAGCGCAGTAGAGAAAGTCAGACTGCAACCTCCATTTGAGCGCAGTAGAGAAAGACAGACTGCAACCTCCATTTGAGCGAAGTAGAGAAAGACAGACTGCAATGTCAGTAGATTTGCACTGTGGATGCCCGATTAATCCTGGAGAGGGTTACAGGCGCGTTCGCCTGGGGGGTTATGGGCGCACTGACCCGCTACTAAAACAAGCCCTTTTATCCAATGGTCTAGTTGTTGGGATTCTGACATGGTATCAGAGCGGTCTCGGGTTCGATTCCCGGTGTATGCACATGTAGGCCGTTGCCGCTATGCTTAGTCCTGGGCCTCGCAGTGTAGGGGGGTGTCAGTAGATCTGCACTGTGGATGCCCGATTGATCCTGGAGAGGGTTACAGGCGCGTTCGCCTGGGGGGTTATGGGCGCACTGACCCGCTACTGAAACAAGCCCTTTTATCCCAATGGTCTAGTGGTTGGGATTTTGACATGCAACCTCCATTTGAGCGCATTAGAGAAAGACAGACTGCAACCTCCATTTGAGCGCAGTAGAGAAAGTTAGAATGCAACCTCCATTTGAGCGCAGTAGAGAAGTTCAGACTGCAACCTCCATTTGAGCGCAAGTAGAGAAAGACAGACTGCAACCTCCATTTGAGCGCAGTAGAGACCAAGTCAGACTGCAACTTCATTTGAGCGCAGTAGACGAAAGACAGACTACAACCTCCATTTGAGCGCAATAGAGAAAGTGAGAATGCAACCTCCATTTGAGCGCAAGTAGAGAAAGTCGAGAATGCAACCTCCATTTGAGCGCAGTAGAGAAAGTCAGACGCAACCTCATTTGAGCTCGCAGTTAGAGAAAGTCAGACTGCAACCTCATTTGAGCGCAATATAGAAAGTCAGGACACAGAGAAAGTCAGACTGCAACCTCCATTTGAGCGCTAGTAGAGAAAGTCACACTGCAACCTCCATGTCAAACTCATATGCTATAGTCTTTGTAGGCTGTAGTGGGTAGACAATATAGGGTACAACACTTCTAGGTTTTCCTACTTGTACCCACCAGCTTGCTAGTTCATTCATTCCTCATTTCTTCACATGGTATAGAGCAGGTTCCTTAGTGGGAACTTTTCCTAGGGCCCACGAATGAACATCGATTTTTTTTTTTCCTGCCCTGAGATCGAGTCGCCCCTGACCGAGGCGCGCCCTGTGTGCCGCCCTCCCTTTTAGCAACCCGTCCACCCTCTCACGGTCCCCCTCGCGGACCCTGTCGCCGCCCCCTAGCGACCCGTCGCGCCGCCCCTGAGCGGCCCGTCGCGCCGCCCTCAGCGGCCCCTTGCGGCCCCCCACCTACGCGGGCCCCGTCACCGCCCTCTCGCGGCCCCGTCGCCACGTTTTGCGGCCCCGCCGCCGCCCTCGCGGCCTCGTTGCCGCCCCCTACGCGGCCCCGTCGTCGCCCCTCTCGCGGCCCCGTCGCAGCCGTAAGCGGCCCCGCCGTCGCCCTCGTGGCCGCGTCGCCGCCCCTCTCGCTGGCCCCAGTGCGTCCTCTCTTGCGCCTCGTCGCCGCCCTTAGCGGCCCCGTTGCCGCCCCTTAAGGCCCCATCGCCGCCCCTTGCGGCCCCGTCGCCGCCCCCTTGCGGCCTCGTCGCCGCCTTAGCGGGCCCTGTCGCCGCCCCTTAAGGTCCGTCGCCGCCCTTAGCGGCCCTGTCGCCGCCCCTTGTGGCCCCGTCGCGCCCCCCCTTTCGGCCCCTCCCCGGCCCCTTCACCGCCCCGAGCAGCCGCAGCCGCCGAACCCGCCGAGCCGCCGAGTCGCCAAGCAGCCGAACCGCCGAGCCGCCCGAGCAGCCGAGCGCCGCCGAGCCGCCGAGCCGCCGAGCAGCCGCAACCGCCGAGCCGCGAGCTGCCGAGCCGCCCCTACCGCGCCGCTGCCGTCGAGCCGCTGTCGAGCCGTACTGCCACTGCCGAGTCGCTGCCACCGCGGTTTCAGCCCTATTCCTCCCGAGCGCCCCGGCCCTACACACCCGGACTGGTGAGAGCATTCCCTGCTAGACCATACTGTCATGGCTACCCCCAGTGTCCTTACCTTTGATGCTGAGGGTCGTGCTCTTGCCTTGGAGGTCTGTGTCGATGACCTACAGCTCTTCCTACAGTGCGATAGGGCAGACGGCCTCTCCCTGTTCGATCTCACCTCTGGTGCCTCTCCTGCCCCGCCTACTGATGCTGACAGCACTATTCGGTCACAGTGGGCCACACGCGATGCTGCTGCCCGTCTTGCTGTGCGTCGCCACTAACCGACCGCTGAGCGTGCGCACTTTAGTCAGTATAAGAGTGCTAAGACCTTGTACGACGCTGTGGCTGCACGCTACTCTTCCCCTGCCACTGCCTGCTCTTAGCCGCCTCATGGTGCCGTACCTGGTTTCCTAACCCTCGCGGCCTTCCCACTATCGCTGACCTCGTTACGCACCTTCGCACTAGTGACACCCGCTACCGCGCTGCGCTTCCTACTAAGTTCTGCGCCAAGAACCCCCCCCCCCCCCCCCCCATGTACATCACCCTCTACTACATAGTCATCCGGCTCCCTGACTCCCTTCGCTCGGTTAGGGACCACTTCCTCTCTCTTTGCCCCACCACACTCACCGTTGACCTTCCTCGAGGAGCGCCTCCTGGCAGCTGAGATAGAGTATAGTCGCCTGTAGGAGCCTCTCGAGGTGACCCACGTGCCCCCTGTCTTTAAGGGGTGCTCCCCCTCCCCCCTTTTACCCTCTGTTGCCTCTACTGCTGCCGTCGACTTCATTGGCACCGAGTCGGTCGGACGCTGCGTCTGCCCCTTAGCGGGCGACGCCGCACCAGCAAGGGCAAGGGAAGCAAGGGCGCTGGAGGGGCTGGCGGGGGCGGTGGAAGGTGGCGGTGGAGGAGGCGGAGGGAGTGGGGGTGGTGGTGGGACTGGTGGCGGGGGTGGGGGCTTCGGTCGGCGGCGGTGGCGGCGGAGGCGGCGGGCGGCGGTGGCGGTGGGAGCGGAGGAGGAGGCGGTGGCGGCGCTGGGTAGGAGGTGGCGGCGGAGGAGGTGGAGCTAGTCGGGGTGGCTTCTGCGAAGGCGGGGCGGCCTTAGTTGGTGGTCAGCGCCAGCAGCTAGCAGCGCACTCGTGGGACCCCGTCCCCCCAGCAGCTTTGTGAGTGGTACGCTGGGCGTCAGTGAGGTGGGGGTACTGGTCCCTGTACCTACGTCCCCGTACCGGCGACCGCGCTGGTGAGCAGTGCGGGGGTTCGCACTCCACCCAGCGCTGCTTCGGCCGCCTGACGGACGCTTGGCGTCACCAGTTCCCTGACGCCACTTAGATCCCTCGCTGGGGAGAGCTGTCTAGGGCGGGGGGTTGCTATCTTTGATCTTGACTATGATGCTATTCTTGCTGCCATGTATGCCTGTGTCTACTAGTGATGAGGGTGACTGTTACCTGTGTGTTCCGCCTGACCCGGGCATTGAGGCTGCTGCTCTAGGTGCTGGTGAGGCTGCTGCTCTAAGTGCTAGTGCGTCTGCTGCCCCAGGTGCTGGTGAGTCTGCTCTCTCAGGTACCACGTCGGCTCAGGCCTTACACACCTTCACCCTTGTCTCGGGTGCTTCCTGCTCCTTCTTTCGAGACCGCACCACGCTTACGCCGCTTAGTCCTGCCGGTTGCGGTCTCCTTGGCGGACCCCTCTAGGGGTCCTGTCCTTGCTCGCTTCTCCTTTGTCTTACCGTGTCCGGCAGCCCCCTCTGGCACCCTGTGAGGTCTCTACCTCCCCTTGTTCTCTACAAACTTGGTGAGTGGTGCTGATCTACAGGATGGGGGGGTTGACCAGTTCACTCCTGCGAGTCAGCGGTGACCCACTGTACGTGTGCTCGGACGGGCCGACACTTGGCCACGTTTACCCGTCGGCCAGGGTCGAGCCTGTACACACTGACTATGAGTCTCCTCCGGTTGCTGAGTCTGGTCAGGTGTTTGCTGCAGCGTCCAGGTCTGGTCCTGAGTCATGCTCCCTGTTTGTGTCATCTCCTGTCCCACCAGACTCTCCTTTGGTACCACCGGCTTGGTCACCCCTCCCTGCCTCGTCTCCGAGGCATGGCCTCCCGTATCCTTGTCTCTGGTCTCCCCCGGTCCCTCCCTCCCCTCCCTCCGGGGCCTGCCCCTACCTGCGTCCCCTGCGTCGAGGGGCGTCAGCGCGCCGCCCCTCACTCCTCCGAGTTTCCTCCGACAGAGGCTCCGCTGCAGACTCTTCACATGGACGTGTGGGGCCCCGCCCCGCGTCCGTGGCCAGGGTCACGAGCGTTACTTCCTATTGGTGGTGGACGACTACTCGTGTTACACCACGGTGTTTCCCTTGCATAGCAAGGGTGACGTCACTAAGATATAGATCGACTGGATCCGCGCGGCTCGTCTCCAGCTCAGAGAGAGTTTCGGCTCGGACTTTCCTGTTCTGCGTCTGCACTCTAACAGAGGCGAGGAGTTTTCCTCTGCTCGTTTGGGAGCCTTCTGTCGTGCACAGGGCATCCGCCAGACCTTCACGCTTCCAGCCTCTCCACAGCAAAATGGGATTGCTGAGCGCCGCATTGGCCATGGTCATGGACGTCGCTCGTACGTCCATGATCCATGCGGCTGCTCCCCATTTTCTGTGGCCGTTTGGAGTTCAGTACGCAGCGCATCAGCTCAACCTTCAGCCCCAGGTCTCCTTGCCGGAGACCTCCCCCACCTTGAGGTGGACGGGGAAGGTTGGCGATGCGTCTGCGTTCCGTGTGTGGGGATCTCGGGCGTATGTCCGCGACTTGTCTGCGGACAAGCTGTCCCCCCGTGCGGTTCCCTGCGTCTTCCTTGGCTTCCCCCCTGACGCGCCTGGTTGGCAGTTTTACCACCCCACCTCGCGCCGTGTTCTGTCCTCCCAGGACGTCACCTTTGAGGAGTCGTTGCCTTACTACCGTCTCTTCTCCTACCGCACTATGCCCCTCCCCCCGCCGCCGCTCTTCTTTGCGCCATGTCCTCCCCCGGTAGACTCTCTCTCCCCTCAGGGTCCTGCCCCGTCAGGTGTGTCCCAGGTAGACGCAGTCGAGCCTGTCAAGGTAGCTGTTGACTCTGGTGCTGCTAGGGGTGCTGAGTCTAGGGTGCTGAGCCTGGGGTTGCGGAGCCTGGGGGTGCAGAGCATGGAGGTGCTGAGCCTGGGGGTGCAGAGCCAGGGGGTACGGAGCCTGGGGGTGCTGAGCCTGGGGGTGCGGAGCCTGGGGGTGCTGGGTCTGCTCGTGTGGCCTTTGGCGGTGCTTCGTCGAGGCGTGAGCTACCCTCTCCATAGGAGCTGCGCGAGTGGTTTGCTCGGCGCTGGAGCCATACTGCTAGAGCTGGAGGTGCTGCTGTTACTGCTGACCCTGGGGTCGGCACTGGAGTTACTGGAGCCACTGGTCCTGGAGGTGCTCGTACTGGCAGTATTGGAGCTGCTGGGACTGGGGGTGCTGCTTGGGCTGCTGGAGTTGGTCCTGCTGGAGGTATTGCTGGTGCTGCTGGCGGTACTTGAGCTGGCGGCGCTGCTGTTGTCACTGACCCTTCCTTTGAGTCAGTGCTGCATCTGCCTTGTTTGCTGAGCTTGTCGACTTTGCTGCTCGCTGTCGTCTAGACAACGCCACTAGTGTTGTTGCTGAGTCTGAGTCTGTCTGTCCTACGTCCGTCGGGGGTGAGTGTGCTCTTAGCACGGACGTCGTTGAGGACGGGTAGGAGGAGTTCGAGTGTTTTGCTGCTGCTTTGCCTCATCTCGTGTCCACGCTGATTGCCCCTGAGGGAGACCCGGATGCACCAGACATCCCGACTCCTCGATCGTACGCTGAGGCAATCCAGGGTCCCTACTCCTCACAGTGGCAGTCAGCCATGGACGCAGAGAGATGGCAACCTGGAAGTCCACAGGCACCTACGTCAACGAGGTTCCCCCACCTGGGGCGAACATCGTCAGTGGCATGTGGATTTTTAGGGTGAAGCGGCCGCCGGGTTCTCCGCCTGTCTTCAAGGCGCGTTACGTGGCTCGAGGCTTCAGTCAGCGGCAAGGAGTTGACTACTTTCAGACCTTCTCTCCCGCCCCGAAGATGACCACTCTTCGGGTGCTGCTGCACATAGCCGCTCAACGCGACTACGAGCTTCACTCTCTTCACAGCTTTCCTGTAGGGCAGCCTGCACGAGGAGATCTGGCTGCGCCGCCCACCTGGCTTCACTGGGTCGTTTCCCCCTGGTACCCAGTGGAGCCTCCGGCGGCCAGTCTACAGTCCCCGCCAGGCGCCGCGTGAGTGGCACGACACACTGAAGACTACACTTGCGGCTCTTGGGTTTGCTCCTTCTACAGCCGACCCGTCGCTGTTTTTGCGCGCCGACACCTCTTTGCCGCCGTTCTACATCCTCGTGTACGTCGACAACTTGGTCTTTGCCACTGCTGACACTGCTGGACTAGCCCACGTGAAGTTCGAGCTGCAGAAGAGACACACGTGCACAGACCTGGGTGAACTGCGCAGCTACCTTGGCTTGCAGATCACCCGGGACAGAGCACAGCGCACCATTACCCTGACTCAGTCACACATGGTGCAGCAGGTCCTTCAGCGCTTCGACTTCACATACTCCTCGCCTCAGGCCACTCCTCTGTCTACTCGCCACTCGCTCTCAGCTCTGCCTTCGGATGAGTCCGTAGAGTCGAGTGGCCCGTACCCAGAGCTTGTTGGCTACCTCATGTACATGATGACCTGCACACGACCTGACCTTGCATACCCTCTTAGCATCTTGGCACGCTATGTTGCTCCTAGGAGAAATCGACCAGAGCACATGGCTTCAGCGAAGAGGGTGTTGCGCTACTTGTGCAGTACGTCGGGCATGGGGCTAGTGCTTGGAGGGCGATGTTCAGTGGTCCTCACAGGTCACGCAAACGCTTCTTGGGCTGACGACCAGGCTACGCAGCGGTCGTCACAGGGTTACACTTCAGCCTTGGTTCCGGCTCTGTTTCGTGGAGGTCTACCCGCTCGTCTTCTGTTCTCGGCTCCAGCTATGAGTCTGAGATCTACGCGGGAGCCATGGCTGCACAGGAGCTATGCTGGCTCACCTACCTGCTGACTGACCTAGGAGAGCCGCCTCGTTCTCCTCCAGTTCTGTACGCAGACAACAAGGCCATGCTGGCCTTGTGTCGGGAGCACAGACTGGAGCACAGAACGAAGCACATTGCTCTTCGCTACTTCCTTGCTCGTGAGCTGCAGCAGCGTGGTCAGCTGCGCCTTGCTTACGTGGCCTCTGAGGCTAACACTGCTGATATCTTCACCAAGGCACTTCTGCCTTGTGATCATCAGCGCTTGTGTACGATGCTAGGTCTTGTGCCTACTTGGCCTCACTTGCTCACTTCTTGACCTTGCTTGTACTGTGATCTTACTATACCTGCACTTGCTTGTTTACCTTTATATATAATCTTGCATGTGAACTGGCCTTGTGGCCTTGAGCTTGTGCTCGGACTGTGTGGTGACTTTGTGATCCACCCTGGGCTTGCTTTGCTTTGCTTGACTGGTCTTGTGACCTCTTGTTCTCCCCCACTTTGCCTATGGGGGTGTGTCAAACTCATATGCTTTAGTCAGTGTAGGCTATAGTGGGGTAGAAAATATGGGGTACAACACTTTTAGGTTTTCCTACTTGTACCCACCTGCTTGCTAGTTCATTCATTCCTCATTTCTTCACACTCCATTTGAGCGCAGTAGAGAAAGTCAGACTGCAACCTCCATTTGAGCGCAGTAGAGAAAGACAGACTGCAACCTCCATTTGAGCGCAGTAGAGAAAGACAGACTACAACCTCCATTTGAGCGCAGTAGAGAAAGACAGACTGCAACCTCCATTTGAGCGCAGTAGAGAAAGACAGCCTGCAACCTCCATTTGAGCGCAGTAGAGAAAGACAGACTGCAACCTCCATTTGAGCGCAGTAGAGAAAGACAGACTGCAACCTCCATTTGAGCGCAGTAGAGAAAGACAGACTACAACCTCCATTTGAGCGCAGTAGAGAAAGACAGACTGCAACCTCCATTTGAGCGCAGTAGAGAAAGACAGCCTGCAACCTCCATTTGAGCGCAGTAGAGAAAGACAGACTGCAACCTCCATTTGAGCGCAGTAGAGAAAGACAGACTGCAACCTCCATTTGAGCGCAGTAGAGAAAGACAAACTGCAACCTCTATTTGAGCGCAGTAGAGAAAGTCAGACTGCAACCTCCATTTGAGCGTGCAAGCCCACTTGGTGATATGGCAGCCTTCCTGCCAACCTGATACAGGAGTTGCCTTTCTTTGTTGTGTTCCCACCTTATTAAGGGTGCATAACATGCAGCCACCTCACCTTATTCACAATACATCGAATGTAGGCATCTCGGTGCTTCTCAAGGTCCTTGGCGTTTTCGTCCACCCATGCCCGCCCAAGGATCATCTTCACATGCTGCATGCCATGCCCATTACATCACATCCATGCACACCGCATCATTCCAGATGGGTAAGCAATCACATGCCCCTAACAACACCACACCTGTGCCATACGCGGACTACAACTACTATTACCACCAAGAGGGATGCTAGCACTAACAAGAACAACACCAACAACATTAGTAGATACCAAGCAGATACCGACGGGAGGGACCCACTCCTCCTTGCGCTGGATGGACTCACTCCTCCACCTTTCGCTGGATGTACTCACTCCTCCACCTTGCGCTGGATGTACTCGCAGTTGTTCATGAGGAACACGGCGCGCATCGCCTCGTCATGGAACGCGTCGCCCTTGCGCTCCAGATTCGCCTTGAGCGCTGCTAGCAGGTGGCGCGTGGCGGCGCCCACTCGCACGGCGCCCTCGTGGTGGTTGCCGCCCTCGTCGTACACTAGCAGCAGCGTGCCGAGGTACAGCGTAACTGTGCCGCTAGGGGCACCCAGACACGCCAGATTGGGAGGGGCGTGTCGGATGGGGTGAGGGGAGAAGGGGGGAGAAAGGGACGGGTGGGAAAGAAGGGAAGAGCAGTGGGGTGAGTGGCCTCACGGAGGCACCTTTGGCAGAACACATCAATGTCATGATCCTTACTGGTGGGCGGGAACAGATAAGCTGACCACGCAGCTGGCCACCTCAAGCTGATGCACAGGGTGTAAATATTGTTTACACATAAGCGTAGAATGTGTTTCCTCAACACCTCTGTGTCAGAATGTTATTATCTAGCCTGTAGTGGGGTGCTCTATAGCGAGTACAGCCCTGTTAGGGTTTGCTATATGTATCCCAACTGCTGCTAGTGAAATCCTCCTCCTTTCTTCATTTCTCTCTTGCCTAGCTAGCTAAACCCTAGCTATGGCTCCTTACTCTGCTCACTATTCTCACATGCTATCAGAGCATCTACGCTCCTAGCCAGTGGGCCCACCTAACTGCTTCTGCTGCTACTCCGTCTGTTGCACGCCCGTGGCGTGCGGCTCCTCCTTCCCCCTATGCGATTTTTTTTTCGGTTTTTCTTTCCGCCGTGCGCTCAGGGCGCGCGGAGGTTTTCTGCCCGCCGTGCGCCCCGAGGCGCGCGGCGGTTTCCTTCCTTGGGACCCACGCGCGGCCCCCGCCCTGCTCGTCACGGAGCTTAGGGGAGCACGCGCGGCCCCCGCCCTGCTCGTCGCGGCGCCCTGGGGAGCATGCGCGGCCCCCGCCCCTCACGTCGCGGCGCCCTGGGGAGCCGGCGCGCGGCCCCTCGCTGCCCCGTGGTGGCGCCCTGGGGGCAGCGCGCCACCCCTGGAGCAGCGCGCGGCCCCTCGCTGCCCCGTGGTGGCGCCCTGGGGCCGCGCTCCACCCCTGGAGCCGCGCGAGGCCCCTCGCTGCCCCGTGGTGGCGCCCTGGGGGCCGCGCGCCGTCCCCGTCGCCGTCCCCCGCGCTCCTACCCTGTGCCACCCGTTTTAGGGTTTGGGGGTGGGGAGTGTGGGGGTGACGGTTATGGGGGTGCCGGTTGTGGTGCGCCGTCCCCTGCTCCTCCTCCTCCTCCGTCTCCTGCTGCTGCAGCTGCCGCTCAGGGGGGTGGGTGTGTGGGAGCTGAAGGAGTGGCGCTAGGGGGGTGACGTGGGAGTGGAGTTAGGGGTTCAGCAGGGGGTGTGTGTCAAGGGTGTGGGTCAGTTGGAGGAGGTTGTGTGGAGGTAGCTGTCGTGTCGCCTGCAGCGCCTGTAGTCCGTCGCCCTTGCTTCGGTAGCCAGTGAGCCTGTTGCACCAGTCGCCAGTGGGTCCGTTGCTCCTGCCGCTCGTCTATAGCCGCGGAGCCAGTCACTCCAGTAGTCCGTCGCCCTTGCTTCGGTAGCCACGGAGTCAGCCGCTCCTGTGCCCGTGCCTCTGCAGCTTCAGTCGTTGCCTCCCATCTTCTCTCCGTCCACAGTACTCTCCTCCTCCTCACTTGCCCTCTGTGATAGCCTCTAGCTTTGCTTGCCATTGTGAACCTACTCTATGACTCTGTGCTCTGCTGATTACACCCCACTTTGGCTATGGGGGTGTGTCATAATGTTATTATCTAGCGTGTAGTGGGGTGCTCTATAGCGAGTACAACCCTGTTAGGGTTTGCTATATGTATCCCAGCTGCTGCTAGTGAAATCCTCCTCCTTTCTTCATTTCTCTCTTGCCTAGCTAGCTAAACCCTAGCTATGGCTCCTTACTCTGCTCACTATTCTCACACTCTGAGTACAGGAAATGGTTACACATGACATGGCATGACATGGCATCACATCACATCACATCACATCACATCACATCACATCAAATGACATGACATGACATATGACATGAAATGATATGACATGACATGACGTGGCATGAAATGACACGAGTTGACATGACATGAAATGACATGACATGACATGACATGACGTGGCATCACATGGCATCACATCACATCACATCACATCACATGGGGGAGGGGCCACGCACTCGTTGAAGTAGAGCAGGATGAAGTTCACCACGTTAGCTCGTCAGAGGGTGCACGACCGGACTGCCTCTCACAACCACGTCCTGCCCCGCCAACCCCCCACCCTCCTTGCTCTCTGCCTTGCTCTTCCCCCGCGTCTCGCCCTTGCCCTCCTCGTGCCCCTTGCTGACCTTCTTTGGCAGCAGCCCCCCCAGAATGCCCCTCCCTCTTGACGCGTTGCCGCTGACCATCCGATTGTGCAACCCACCGCCCCCGTGGTGAGATCGATGGCTGGCATCCGATCTGTGGCTCGGGTCCAAATCCTCCTCCCCATGACTCCCCCATCCCCCATCTCCGTCCTCCTCCCCCTTCCTCTCTTCCCCCCCCTCCTGGCCAGCGGCTGAAACCAAAGGAGGAGGAGGGGGGAAGGGGGGGATGGAGGAGGAGGTGGAGGAGGAGCGGGGGAGAGGGGGGGAGGGGGAGGGGGGCGGGGTGGGGTCGTGGAGCACGATGTGTTGGAAGTCAGCGATGGTGCCCCTCACCGTGCGGCACAGCACCACATAGATGCCCACCAGATGCTGCCGCACCTCACCGCCCGCCTCCCCGGGAAACTGCTTCTCCACCTGCCGGGTTGGAGAGGAGGAGTGGGAGAATGGGGAGGTGGGGTGTGAAGTGAAGCAGGGGGCGGTGCAGTGCAAGGGATACGCAAGGGACGGGATGGTAGCATACAACTGGCTTGCTCTAGTGTAGGGTGTATGAGTGAAGTGTACCCACGGCATAACTCTCTGCATGACACACTGCATGAGGGAATGACTCACAGCATGACTCACGGCATGACTCACTGCATGACCCACTGCATGAGGGAATGACTCACGTCATGACTCACTGCATGACACACAGTGCATGACACACGGCGGGGCATGAGGGAATGACTCACAGCAGGGCGCAGGTTGAGCAGCGCCTCCACCATCTCGAGCAGCGAGAAGACGTGCTCGGGGGCGCGCGGCATGTCCGCGATGATGTCGCCAAACGCGGTGTAGCTACTTCAGCGCCGGCACCGCCACGCCCGTCAGACACCGTGCCCGCACCGAGGGGGAGGGGGAGGGGCCGCGCCCGATGATGTCACTGCACACCGCCTCCTCTGCTGCGATCAGCACCAGCATCTGCACACACGCAGAGGAGGACTGCGGTTTAATATTGTGTCAACAGTAGGTGGCCGTGGAGAACGAGCCTAACGGCATGAGCTAATATGAGAGCAGGTGCTTCAGTGTTGGCAGCGCCGCAGCCGTCACCGCCAGGCAACGACCAACAGGAACAGGAGTCGGACAAAGCAGGAGAGGGAGAAAAGAAGAAGAGGAAAAAGAAGCGGGGGATGGAGAGACGCAGGCAAGAAAGGGGGAGAGAAGCAAATACGCAGCGTACAAGCCTCTCAGAATGGAGGCAAGACCAGAGCGGACTCAAGAAAAGCTGGGGCCAAGCCAACCCTCCTACAGAGCCGCCTGGCGTGGTAGCGGCAGCTTGCGACCGGCTCAGTGCTCATAGCTATTCTCCACCGATTGTTACCGTGAGCTTGAGGTTCTCGACCCAGCGCTTCATGAGGGGCTCGAGGTCGGCCCACGCAACGCCACCACCTCGTCACGCGTCAGTGCCGCACTACCCAGCCGCTCCAAACACCGTAGCAGCGCTGCTGCCCGCTGCTCCCTGCCCACAGCAATGGGCAGAGAGGCCGGGGTGGGTTGAACGGGGAGCGGGGCGAAGTGGGTGTGGGGAAGTGCGTGTGCGAAGAGAAAGAGGAAGAGGAGAAGGGATATTTCAAGGTGTCGATGGGGGAAGGACTAGGATGAATAACACGTGCATTGAAATAGAAGACCCTGAGATGCCTAGGCATACAATGTGCATTGATGGGTCGATGATGCCCTGCACATAGAGGAAAAATTATAGGCCAGATCGCACGACTTACTCGTACACTCGCACCCACGCTTCCTCGTAGCTATTGCCCACCATCCATGCCGCCATGGCCCGAAGCGGCTTCACGGCCTCAGGCCGAACCAGAGGCACGGGCGGCACCACCTTGCCTGGCTTCATGCACGCTGCAGATTGGACGAGCGCCTTCCGATCCGGTACCAGGCTGCACGCCAGGGAGGACGGCGGTGGGGTGCGGTGGGGTGAGGTGGGGTGAGGTGTGGTGGCGTTGAGATGGTGTGAGAAATGAGGAATGAATGAACTAGCAAGCAGGTGGGTACAAGTAGGAAAACTTAAAAGTGTTGTACCCCATATTGTCTACCCCACTACAGCCTACACAGACTATAGCATATGAGTTTGACACACCCCCATAGGCAAAGTGGGGGAGAACAAGAGGTCACAAGACCAGTCAAGTAAAGCAAAGCAAGCTCAGGGTGGATCACAACGTCACCACACAATCCGAGCACAAGAGCAAGGCCAAAAGGCCAGTTCACATGCAAGATCATATATAAAGGTAAACAAGAAAGTGCAGGTATAGAAAGATCACAGTACAAGCAAGGTCAAGAAGTGAGCAAGTGAGGCCAAGTAGGCACAAGACCTAGCATCGTACAGAAGCGCTGATGATCACAAGTCGGAAGTGCCTTGGTGAAGATATCAGCAGTGTTGGCCTCAGAGGCCACGTAAGCAAGGCGCAGCTGACCACGCTGCTGCAGCTCACGAGCAAGGAAGTAGCGAAGAGCAATGTGCTTCTTTCTGTGCTCCAGTCTGTGCTCCCAACACAAGGCCAGCATGGCCTTGCTGTCTACGTACAGAACTGGAGGAGAACGAGGCGGCTCTCCTAGGTCAGTCAGCAGATAGGTGAGCCAGCGTAGCTTGTGTGCAGCCATGGCCCCCGCGTAGATCTCGGCCTCACAACTGGAGCCGAGAACAGAAGACGAGCGGGTAGACCGCCACGAAAAAGAGCCGGAACCAAGGCTGAAGGTGTAACCCTGTGACGACCGCTGGGTAGCCTGGTCGTCAGCCCAAGAAGCGTTTGCGTGACCTGTGAGGATCACTTGACGTCGCCCTCCAAGCACTAGCCCCATGCCCGACGTACTGCACAAGTAGCGCAACACCCTCTTTGCTGCAGCCATGTGCTCTAGTCGGTGTCTCCCAGGAGCAACATAGCGTGCCAAGATGCTAAGAGGGTATGCAAGGTCAGGTCGTGTGCAGATCATCAGGTACATGAGGCAGCCAACAAGCTCTGGGTGTGGGCCACTCGGCTCTACGGACTCATCCGAAGGCAGAGCTGAGAGCGAGTGGCGAGTAGACAGAGGAGTGGCCTGAGGCGAGGAGTACGTGAAGCCGAAGCGCTGAAGGACCTGCTGCACCATGTGTGAATGAGTCAGGGTGATGGTGCGCTGTGCTCTGTCCCGGGTAATCTGCAAGCCAAGGTAGCTGCGCAGTTCACCCAGGTCTGTGCACGTGTGTCTCTTCTGCAGCTCGGACTTCACGTGGGCGAGTCCAGCAGTGTCAGCAGTGGCTAAGACCAAGTTGTCGACGTACACGAGGATGTAGAACGGCGGCGAAGAGGTGTCGGTGCGCAGAATCAGCGACGGGTCGGCTGTAGAAGGAGCAAACCCAAGAGCCGCAAGTGTAGTCCTCAGTGTGTCGTGCCACTCACGGGGCGCCTGGCGGAGACCGTAGACTGGCCGCCGGAGGCTCCACTGGGTACCAGGGGGAAACGACCCAGTGAAGCCAGGTGGGCGGCACAGCCAGATCTCCTCGTGCAGGCTGCCCTGCAGGACAGCTGTGCTGAAGTCAAAAGGGTGAAGCTCGTAGTCGCGCTGAGCGGCTATGTGCAACAGCACCTGAAGAGTGGTCATCTTCGGGGTGGGAGAGAAGGTCTGAAAGTAGTCAACTCCCTACCGCTGACTGAAGCCTCGAGCCACGTAACGCGCCTTGAAGACAGACAGAAAACCCGGCGACTAAAAATCCACATGCCACTGACGATGTTCGCCCCAGGTGGGGGAACCTCATCGATGTAGGTGCCTGTGGACTTCCAGGAAGCCATCTCTGCGTCCATGGCTGACTGCCACTGTGAGGAGTAGGGACCCTCGATCGCCTCAGCGTAGGATCGAGGAGTCGGGATGTCTGGTGCATCTGGGTCTCCCTCAGGGGCAATCAGCGTGGACACGAGATGAGGCAAAGCAGCAGCAAAACACTGGAACTCCTCCTGCCTATCCTCAAGGACGTCCGTGCTAAGAGCACACTCACCCCCGACGGACGGAGGACAGATAGACTCAGACTCAGCAACAACACTAGTGGCGTTGTCTAGACGACAGCGAGCAGCAAAGTCGACAAGCTCAGCAACCAAGGCAGACGCAGCAGTGGACTCAAAGGAAGGGTCAGTGACAACAGTAGCCAGGAGACGCGTGATAGTAGGACTGGAAGCACGAAGAGAGTCAGACTCCGTGTCAGCAAGAACAGGAAGAGAGGACGCTGGAGGAGACGGCAACGGGACACGCAGAGGAGCAGTGGACGGACGCAGTGCCATCTGGTGTGTGCCTGGGACCGAAGGAGGACGCGGACGCCGAGCACGACAACTAGTGCGAGCAGCACGAACAGGCAACGCAGGACAAGACTAGGCTTACGTCACCCAGCACGACCTCTAGTAGGACCAGTGTAGGGAGAAGGACCAGGGAGGAGGAAGGCAGGCTGGAAATGTGACCGCGACTGGATGGGCTGTGCACACTCTAAGGGAGGAGCAGGACCAGTAGAGGGCGGGAGACCAAGAACCTGCTCAAGGAGCGGAACAAAGTACGGCCGCGGCCGCAAAGTGCCTCCAGAACTAGCAGGGACAGAACCAGTACTCCAAGTGGCTGTACCAGCTCCAGCAGCACCTCCAGCTCCAACAGCACCAACTCCAGCACCCTCAGAGGCACCACCGCCTGCAGCACCTCCAGCGCCAACACACCCAGCTGCTCCAGCTCCAGCAGCTCCAGCTCCAGCAGGATCGTCAGCTCCAGCTCCAGCAGTACCTCCAGCGGGACCAACTCCAGCAGCCCGAGCAGCACCCCCAGTCCCAGCAGCTCCAATACCGCCAGTACGAGCACCTCCAGGACCAGCAGCAACAGTAGCACCTCCTGCTCCAGCAGCACGGCTCCAGCGCCGGGCAAACCACTCGCGCAGCTTCTGCGGAGAGGGTAGCTCCCACATCGGCGAAACACCGCCAGAGGCCACACGAGCAGACCCAGCACCCCTAGGCTCCGCACCCCCAAGCTCCGTACCCCCAGGCTCAGCACCCTCAGGCTCCACACCCCCAGGCTCAGCACCCCCAGACCCGGCACCCGCAGGCTCAGCAACCCTAGACTCAGCACCCCTAGGCTCAGCACCCCCAGACCCGTCACCCGCAGGCTCAGCACCTCTAGCAGCACCAAAGTCAACAGCTACCTCGACAAGCTCGACTGCGTCTACCTGAGACACACCTAATGGGGCAGGACCCAGAGGGGGGAGAGGGTCTACCGGGGGAGGACCTGGCGCTAGGAAGAGCGGCGGCGGGGGGAGGGGCGCAGTGCGGTAGGGGAAGAGACGGTAGTAAGGCACCCACTCGTCAAACGTGACGTCCTGGGAGGACAGAACACGGCGCGAGATGGGGCGGTAAAACTGCCAACCAGGCGCGTCAGGGGGGAAGCCAAGGAAGACGCAGGGAACAGCACGGGGGGACAGCTTGTCCGCAGACAAGTCGCGGACAAACGCCCGAGATCCCTGGACACGAAACGCAGACGCATCGCCAACCTTCCCCGTCCACCGCAAGGTGGGGGAGGTCTCTAGCAAGGAGACCCGGGGTTGAAGGTTGAGCTGATGCGCTGCGTACTGGACCGCAAATGGCCACAGAAAATGGGAGGCAGCCGCATGGATCATTGACGTACGAGCGAAGTCCATGACCATGCCAATGTGGCGCTCAGCAATCCCATTTTGCTGTGGAGAGGCCAAAAGCGTGAAGGTCTGGTGGATGCCCTGTGCATGACAGAAGGCTCCCAGACGGGGAGAAGGAAAACTCCCCGC